AGAGAATTAACAGGGCAAATGATAGATTTGTGGTAATATTTCAACACCAAAGGACCAGTTTCAAGCACACGGCTGTACTCGTTCCTACGCAATGGATGGCAGGGAACCACAAGTCACGGCTGCCTATTCATAGGGGCTCATTCTGAGATGTCCCAGTAAATGCTATTTTATTAGTCTGGTTCCTGTATGTACAGAAAAATCAATAAAATGTGTTTGCTTCTTAATAGGCTGTAATTCTAACTTCTCCCTAATTTAGTCTCGCCTTTCTCTCCCCAAATACCAGGTTTGGCAACCAACAGTCTTCAAGCCGGGCTCCTGTTGGCGTGGGAACACTGAAGGAAAGTCACACTCTCTTCAATAAACGCACAGATACTGCTTCCTTGAGTCTCCTGGAACACAGCATAGACGGACTCTGCCAGAGACCAAGGCACGGTGCTGTTCTTCTAAAGCGGTATTCACAGAGAAGGTACGTCCCACCTTAAGTCTCGCACTCCAAGGGGGCTTCCTTCGATTTAGACTCGCCCAGTTGGGGAAACAGCACCAAAGGCCAACCTTTAAAATCCAGTAATAAAATGAAATGGCTCTACAAGTAACTCCCAGCTACCCCCTGCCCCTGCACCGTGTGTCTGAGAACCCCCGTCTTAGTACTGTGTTGGCTGCTCACAGCCAAGGTAATTTCCCCTGTTTGACCTACCCTTTTCCAGAGGAACCTTGTCTTGGCTGCCAGGTCTGTTCTTAAAGAGAGTGCTTACCACACGTAAGTGAAGGTATAAACAGTACTGGCTGACTGGGTGAAGAAGCCTGGGGCTCACCTGTGGATTTACCAAGAGGTGATGTGGGAGCAGGCAGCACTGCCTCCAGCCACCAGTGGACCGGCCGAACTCTCCCACACCCTCCCAACACGGGTCTCTGCAAACCGTGGTGCAAACCCAAATCCATCAGGCCTCTCTTCCCTCAGCCCTACCTCCTACCACTTCCTCTTCTCACACCTGACTAGACCCTTGCAGCCCAGTGTTCCCACACACATCATCTTCATGGCACATAGCTCCGTGCCCTCAGACCAGCTGGCTGGTGATTAAAATGGACCACACTAGGAAGTGCCAAAGCGCAGGGCCTATTGTATCAGATTTCCTTGGCCTTTTATAGACACACCGTGAACCTTGAGACTGTGATGTGGCGGCCTGAGACCCTGTAGGCCTGTGTTCTAACCGGGCTCAGTCACCCATGGGCTGAAGCAGCCACTCAGCTCTCAGAAGCCAACTGTGAAAACAGAAGTGTGTGGCCCAGGGTCTGGCTACATCTCTCAACTCTGACTGAACTCTCAATGCCTAAACGGTCCCTGAAGATACTGTCAGAGGAATGGGGGCCAAACAAGCCTTAGAGGGATAAACCACATTCTCACCTCAATTCCTTTTTCTTTCTTTCTTTTTTGCTTAGACACCAAAGCAGTTTCTGAGATTATCAAATATAATCAAACATTATTAGTATATCAAAATTCTTTTATTTTTTGGAGAGACACCAAGCAGAGCTCTGGCCCTCGGGTAACCTTATGAAAGAAGGTGACACACGGACGTTGACTGAGGGAGGTACACTCACCTCCTCCATATCTCACTTAGAGTCAGCAAACACGACAGAAATAACTCTGCACCAGCTGCCAGGTGAGAAACTAAGGCACCAAGATTACCCGTGCTAGCCCAAAGGAGTAAGAGATACCTAGACACCAGCTCTGCCTAGTGCAGTCTCTCCAAAACACTTATTTTAAATGAGAATCTCATTCTACCATAAATGTGAACTGATAAGGAGAACAGGAAAAGAAGGGCCAGGGCATTATGCCACCAGTTTTTAGTGTCCCGGATCACCTCAGCCAATGCAAGTTCTGTGCCAAGCCTTGCAAAAGGCCTGTGGCGGCTGAGCCACAACCACTTTCTGCTGTTAACTTGGCGGAATGAAAAACTGAACAGGTGACTTGAAGGTGAAGGCGTATGGTGGAAAAGCCAACTGTTTCCCTTTGCCCTGTGACTAACTCCTGGGGGACGGGGGGGACTTCTGAGAAGATCAACCAACCCCAACGAGCGGGGAACCCAGCAGAGCCCACGACCGTGTCGCAGATCACGAGCAAGGTTTGGTGTTGTTCAGGATGACCTGGAGCCTGGCAGGGGGAAGCTTCTCTTCCATTATAAAAAGGGTGTCTGACGTGAACTCCTGCAGGTAGGGAAAGACTCGCCCAAGTGCAAAGACTCACACAGGCCTTCTCAGCCCTCCTGGCAGCCACCAGTACTTGTACTCACCTAGGCGTCACTACTGACCCCTTCAGAAGCTTTCACCTTGGAAACTTCACCCAGACCTGACTCTGGTCTTTCCTAGCAGAACAGACCAGGGCTCAGAAGTAAACAAAGTGCTTCTCCCCCTCCCCCACTACCCTTCACCCCCACTGTGGCCTCCATCACACCAGCTGCTGAGGAATTTACTGCCCGCTGACCAGCTGTTTGTGCGCCAGGAGAGCAGATAGGGGAAGTTTCAGGAGAGGAGCGAGAGAGATCCTGCCACTCAGACAGCCGTCCTGCCTTTAGCATCAGCTAATCCTTCAAATTCACGTACACTCTCTACTCCAAGGAAAAGTTGGTTGTTTACCGATGCCCCTAGAAGCAAGCAACGTGTCTGGTGCTTGCTTGTACACATTTTTTTTTTCACATGCCGTAACTGTACCACATCCCAAGGGCTACATCACTGGAACATTTTCAGGTGACCTGAGCCAATCCTGGTCCTTGATCTCCGTGGTTTATTATGGGGCATGATAAACTCCAGCAACTCCACGGAGAGATACTGTCTCCAGGCATATACACCTAAAAACACCCACAGCCTAGACAAACATTCACAGGCTAGCTCCGCCAAAAACAACCCAAAACAAAAAAAAAAGTCAATTGCATAAGCAACGAAGAACAACAAATACATTTAAATGACAACATAAAATAAAAACAAACGACAAGATAAAATGAGGCATCAAAAAAAAAAAAGCATGGAAGGACTCGGTTACAGCACAAGAGTAGAGTTCAGCTATCCTGTACAAGGTTCTAGGTTCCATCCCCAGTACTAAAGTCAAAAAAAAAAAAAAGAAAAATAAACAACCTAAGACAATAAGGAAAAAAAACGATAAGACGAATCGCAATCCAACCTTCCGTATCACATTTGAGAGGGTTTTGGTGGGGGTTGGCTCCCTACATGAGTTAGCTCTTCTTTCTATTGGGGTGCAAAGAAGCCATTCAACAGCCGCCCCCAGTTTCCAGCATACCACCGTGAGCCCATCAAAACAGCAGGGATGCAGTGGCTTTAGAAGTGGTATCAGAAGTCACAGGATAGAGTGCCTTGTGTTGTTTTCAACCTAAAGCTATTATGCTGAAGGTGGTCCAGGTTCTTCTGTTGGTTTATTGCCATCAAGCCAAAGACAATGTGCTGATCTAATGCCCTATTATTAGGTACTTCTGTTTTTGTTATGAAGTGTGAAATAAATTAGATTATCCATACAGCAAGATTTTCCTGAATTCGACAAAGAATCTAATTTATATTGCAAAAGAAACTGGTCTTGAAGTATCACAGCGTTCTAAATTCTTTAGTGAGGCATGGCTCCAAAGCCTATCCCAATATGCACAAACACAAAAGCCCAAAAGTTCCTCTGGGCTCTTCTGTGAGGCAGAAACAAAGACAACCATGCACCTTTTCTGAGTCCCCATCGGCCTTACTTCAAACCCGTGACCATCACTCCTGATAAGAAACACTAAGGTCTGACTCTAATTATGAACCTAGTAAGTCAGTGTGACAACATCCCTTTCCCTCACACTGATCCTAGATGAAGCACTGTTAAAACGGGAGAGCCTAACTCGCAACAGAAGAAAACAGGTTACAAGTTCATTGTTTCTGCAAGATCCATCTAAGGGGCACGCACTAAATAGGCCACGCCAGAAGCAAAAGCAAACTTCAGAAACTTCAGCCTTGCCTGGGCAACAGAAAGCTTGCCTCCTGGTGACTGGCGGACCCTTGAAATAAAGCGCCCTGTAACTGCAGCATGGGAAAAATAACTGGGGGAGACAGACAAATCATTCTGCCTCCCGATGGTGGCAAACTTCACAACAACTTTTTAAAAGCAACAAACTACAGCATCGCAGCCCATGTCGACAGATGTACAGACTCATGCACATACGACTCTACCTGGAAGACAAGGGCTGTTTGCAAATACTCGTCCTCAACTTAGCCCAGGCCAGGCTACCCGGAGACTGCAGCTTTTCAACCGCCTCTCTGCACTGTCAGAGAAGGTCATTTTGCCTGGTCACTTCTCTTCCACCCCGCATCACAGGAGTTTTCTACTCTCAGATTGCTCAACTTTCATATGCACCAAGAGTCAAATAACTATTCAGCAACTTTATTCACCTTGGTTTAATTTTTTTTTTCCTTATGCAATGCCCAGGAAAAGCTGACACCAAGGCTGTCTCAGGGCTTGCAATCACAATCAGAAGGGAGGCGGGGGGTAAAAATCTTGTGTGATAGAACCCAGAGTCCTGAAAGAAAGAGAGAGAGACTATTCTAGTGGGGCCCCTACAACTTTTTCCCTAGGGAGACCACCCCTCGGGAACAAAAGTTACAGTTTAGTCACATGTTGGGCGTAGGAATAAGGAGAAGGGGAATTTCTTTTTCCTTTCTTATTTTTAAGCGCACTAATTACGGAGGTGTTCTACAGATCTGAAGACAAACTGGGTTCCTCCTACCAATTGAGACCGGCATTACATTGACAAAAAGAAGGGGTGGGGTGGGGGGCCCAGGAGCCCAGACGGGGCTCGGCGGGAGAGGGGAGTAGCAAGGTTATGCTAAAGGGTACAGCCGCTGCCACGAGCTGCATCTCTTTCCTTCGCGCCCCAAATAATTCCCCGCAAGCCTAGCAACTGCACCCGCAGCACCGGGGCGAGGGGGTTCCGATCGCCCAAGAGGAAGGAGGGGAACAGAATCATTACCTTAATGCTACACTGAGCAGGAGTCTCAGACATGTCTCACAGCGAGAGGGATCAGGAAGTTCTCAGTTTTTTTCCACTTTCCTTTCCTCTCCCCAACCCAGAAACGCTCGGCGGGGCAGCGGGACGCGGTCATTTAAGAAGTTTCTTGCAGCATCGCCAACGGCGGCCGCCCGGTGGGGGGGGGGGGTCTTCGGAGCGCACGGATCGGGCGCGCGGCGCGGGGGCGTGGGAGCCGGCGAGCACGGCGTGGGGTGTGCGGGTCGCGGCGCGGCGACCGGGGCGCAGCCGGCCGGCCTCGCGTGTCTCCTCCCACCCGCGGCCGGCGCGCCCGCCCCCGCCCTCCCCGCGGCGCTCGCTCGCTCCCTCCCTCCCTCTCTCTCTCTCTCTCGAATGTTTTCCTTCCTGGAAGAGAGAAACTGAAAGGCAGAACTGAGAAAGCTCTCTGCTCATTGATCTTGAGAGTTTCAGGGCAGAAACTGACGTGAATTCCCAGCACCCGGCTCTGCCTCTTAAAGGAGCCACCAGGAAATAAAAGCTCGGGTTACCGCGGGCCGCGGGGAAATCAAAAGGCGTGCGGGGGAGGGGCGCGGGGTGCCCACAGGGCCGCCCCAAGGAGGACGCCTTTGGGGGAACCTCGCAGCGTGGCCCCAGGACTCTCGAGCCTGGTTCATTCCGCTCCCGCCTCTCCTGGCTGCACCTCCGGGGGCCCTGGGCCACGCACAGTAGGGGCTTTCCTGTGCGCTCCCCGGGGCGCCGACGCAGCCCCGGGACCGCGGTCTAGGAAGGGGCTTTCCGGGAAGGACGCGGCGCCGCAGGAGGAAGCGAGACAATGGCCTTTGTTCTGCGCGGCGACCGCGGCCGCTTTAAGAGAATCCACCAGGAAATGGGAGCTCGGGTTACAGGCTGCGCACGGGGAAGTGCAGGGCGCGACGCCGGAGACAAAGCCGCGCGGCCGCGCTCGGGTCCGGGGACGCGGCGGGCGGGGGCTCCCCGCGACGGGGGGCGCCCCTCGGCCTGACCTCCCGCCTTCCCCGATTCGAAATCCCCCGGCCATTTAAAGCCACAGCGGCCGCTACCAACCGACGGAGGTGACTGGACTACAAAGTTGACAGGGCGCGTTCCTGCAGATCTTAGCCCTCCCCTGGGCCGCTGCTCGGGCTCGGTCATTGGCGGAGGGGACGGCCCGGGGTCCTGCAGAGGAGGGGCAGCAAGAATCCTGGGGCTGAGGCACTAGCCTTGAGCACCAGCGGTGCGTTCACTGTTTTTATTGCTATTTATAATCTCTTAAAATGCCCACTGCAGAAGATGGTGTTTAAATTCTAACCCCGCTAGAACATACAGGGTTTAATGTGTGGACATATGATGTAGGACTATAAATGCACTACCATTTTATCTTCTGACGGTAAAATAAACATAAATGCATGTGTGCGTAAACGCATTATGTTCATGTTCCCTGCTGAGTACCATTCTGATTTTCCAGACTCTCCTCTCTATTCCCACTGGTTTCTTTGCAGGGGAGAGCGGGGTTGTTTTGAAGCAAGGTCTTCCAGTGTAGCCCTGGTTGGCCTGGAATTCACTCAGGCTGGTCTGGAATTTGTAAACCATTCTGCCTCTGATATTTTTTTTTCTTGCACACTTTTCAGCATCGTAAAATGTCCTTAGACTTTCACAAACAATACTTCCGTTCATACATTCATCAAAATACTCTGACGTTGTTTAAAGGGTCCGAGTGGAAAGGCACCCCGTTGCTGACAAAATGGAATATTTTTTGGATCCTCCAGACACCACAGCCAGTTTTGTCACCTAGCAGTCATGTTCCCCAAGAGAACTTATCCTTATGTACAATAGCTCCCAACACATTTGCTTTTACCCATGCTTATCCCCCACAAATACTTACCTATACTCCTCTCCTGTGTTTTTGTAGCTGTTTGTTGTAGGTTTTTTATTAGGTTTTTGTTGAATTTGTTTGTTCGTTTTGAGACTGGGTCTTATAATTTAGCAGACTGACCTTGAAATCAAATCCACGCGCCTGCTGACTAAAGGGATTAAAGGCGTGCACCACTCCACCCAGTCCGTTTGTAAATTTTCTTGAGGCTTTAGTCCAGGTTGGCCTTGACTTGAAGCAGAGAATTTTCCCCAACTTTTCATTCTGCCTCTGCCTTCCAAGTCTGGAATGACAAGCCTGGGTCACTATGTTCTTTCTGGGGGGGAAAGGGGTGCTTAAACCTCCATTATTTGCTGGTTTGTTTCTAGTCCTGGAGATTGAACCTGGGCCTCGTGTATGGCTTTCTAAACTAGCGCTCCTCCCCAGCTAAACAGTTCTTGTTTTTCCTTTGCTTCTCGCGGACACTAGATCCCAAGGGCTTTTTGAGTTAAATTTTGTGCACTCTTACATCCCTTATCTGTCAATAGGATCTCTGATAACTTCTCAGCTTCTCTGAAATAGGAAGGGGTAGCATCTAATTAATAAGGTTTTCATAAATATAAGAGGATATCCCTTATCCATGGAGGATGTATACCAAAAGGCCCAGTGTGTACTTAAAGCCAGACACCTCACACACACATATTCATGTATATGTTGTCTTATCTATATAATCTTATACATATATACACTGCAGTTTCATTAATAAATTGAGCACAGTAAGAGACGAACCATAATTAATAATAAATCAGAGCAATTATATCCTTCTGTAATAGAAGATAATAAAGCCTACTACTGTGACTGGAAATTTCCATGTCCGTGGCTGACTGTGGGTAACTGGAACTGGGGAAAGCCAGCCTGTGGGGATGGGGGACTTCTCTACAAGGAGTTTCCTTAGCAAAACATGCCATATCCATGTGCTAATTGGTGTGAGCTGTGATGATTGCTTAACCTCACAACTGAATTAGCTTCCGGCTTCCATTCCTGACATGTCTTGGCCTTCTCCTGGTGATTCAGAGGTGGCAGTTTGAGGTAGAATGTCTGGGGCTGCAAAGCAAAGCACAAGATAGTAGCTACAGCAAAAGCTGCACTTAGCCTACTGTTGACAGGCTCTGCAAAAGGCCTTTTAGTAAATACTTTAAGCTTTGTGGGCCGAGAGGCAAAACTGAAGCTTTTGTGTAAATACCTACATACTAAGAGGGTTGTGTCCACATGCTTTTAAACAGAATTTTCAGTCCAGGTCTATTAATGAAAGGAATGCAACTCCTTTGCAGGGAATAACTTCTACTGACTTGTGGTTCAAAGCAAGGTTTGTTATTGTAGCCCAGGCTGGCCTCGAAGCTACACCACAGAGGATGACCTTGAACTCCTAAGCCTCCCGCCTTCACTCTGGAGTTCTGGGGTAGCGTCTCGCTTGCCTTATTAAATACTGCCTTTCGTAGGAATATACGTTTAATTTTGAAGTGTCTCTTCACCCAGACAGGTGCCACCACGTGTTCATAGGAGTCCACGAGTGTATGATTGTACTTGACTTTCAGTTGCCCGAAGACATCTTAAGAATTCTATTAGAACTTTACAAACTCTCACGACAGCTCCCCTTGAGCGTGCAAATTAGCCACATTCATTGAAATTTGGTGGACACTCCTCAGTGACAGTGAAATGGATTTTTTAAATATGAAAATATCCTTTGAACTTCCATCGACATTTGTCAGAAATCCCTCTTGGACCAGTAGTTTGGGTTGAGAAAAGTGCCCTCGTGCTGGAATGGAGACCTTGCCTCTGGCTTTAGCAGTTGACAGCGTGGGGGACGTGAGCAGCGGCTCCCCGTCACGTGTGGTGGAATCAAGGCTACTTGTGCTGAAATGATTTGCCTGCAGTACGCCTTTGCTTATAAGCCCTGTTTTCCTTGTGGTTTTAGGCGGAACTCATGACAAGTCACTATCAGGTCTGTAGCAGAAGCAAATTTCCAAAGCCATTCCTTGACCAGGAATAGCACACGTGAGAAACTCACCTCCTCCATCCATTCCATGTGTCGTGGGGTTCGTGTCCCTGGTTCCTGTTGGCTTCCTTTGGCTACACTGGACATTTCCGTCTATCCACTCTCTGTCTAGATTATCTTCCTAAAGTTTTCCTATGTTAAATGAATAGTTGCTCTAGAAATCTCAATTAATATCTTTTTTAAATTTTTTTATTTATTACTATGTGTGTTGCATGAATGTGGTCACACACATGATGGGGTACCTGTATGGAGGTCAGAGGACAACTTTGTAGAATCAGTTCTCTCGTTCTACCTTTGGTAACTTCTTGGGAAAAATTAGTTTTTTTTTTTTAGGGTGTGGCTCCATAGTACATTGATCATGCTCCATTGAATAGCCCCACACCCATGAATATATAGGTAACAACAAATTTGATTCAGTGGGTTATAGAAGAATGAGAAAAAGAAGACTTGAAATTGGCAAGGGATGAAAGGATGGTTCTAAAGCATTAGGGGGAGAAGCAGGGGTGAATTGATCAGCATGCATGCATGAATTCTGTGCTGGCTAGTTTTCTGTCAACTTGGCACAGCTAGCATTGGAGAGGAGGGAACCTCAGCTGAGAAAATGCATCCATAATATTGAGCTGTACGCAAGCCTATAGGGCAGTGGTTCTAAACCTGTGGGTTGCGACCCCTTTGGGGGGGTCAAACCACACTTCCACAATGGTTGCACATGAGATATCCTGCATATCAGATATTCACATTCCAATTCATAACAGTAGAAAAATTACAGTTATGATGTAGCAATGAAAATAATCTTATGGGTTGGGTCACCACAGCATGAGAACCTGTATTAAAGGTCAGCATTAAGAAGGCTGAGACTACTAATGTAGGGCATTTTCTTAATTAGTGATGGATGTGTGAGGGTCTGGTCCCTGGGCTGGCAGTGCTGCTGGGTTCTATGAGAGAGCAGGCTGAGCAATCCGTGATGAGCAAGCCAATAAGCAGCACTCCCCCATGGCCTCTACATCAGCTCCTGCCTCCAGGTTCCTGCCCCGTTGGAGTCTTTGTTCTGATTTCCTTCACCAGTGAACAGTGATGTGAAAGCATAAATCAAAGAAATCCTTTCCTCCCCAAGTTAGTTCAGTCATGATAGTTCATCACAGCAATAGTAACCCTAAGACATGTGTACAGAATTCTCAAAGAATTAGTAAAAACTATTATGTTAAAAAAAAAAAAAAAACAAAGCCCACCCCTAGTGACATACTTCCTCTAGCAAGACTCTACTTCCTCAAGGTTCTATAACCTTCCCCAGTAGTGCCACCAGCTGGGGACCAAGTGTTCAAACACACAAGAGTCTTTGGGGAACATTTCTCATTTAAACCACCACACAAAGCTGGAGTTGAGCATCCGAGGTTAGCCTACACCAAGCTGGGGTTGAGCATGCGAGGTTAGCCTACACCAAGCTGGGGTTGAGCATGCGAGGTTAGCCTACACCAAGCTGGGGTTGAGCATGTGAGGTTAGCCTACACACTATCATCAACCTTTGTTCAGGTGAGGCTGGTTTCCCTCACAGGTAAGGGATTACCTCTCCCCCATCTGAGTCACACTCAATAGTGCAGATCTCTCCCACAAGATGACTGACGCTCTCTGTAGTTCAATTCACCGTGTTTCACTCTGCACTTGTTTCTCTCAGGGTTATTTCTTAAAGACTACAATTATGTAGATTATCTGGTTTGTTCTTTCTGTGTGTTAGGAACCAAATTACAGTCTCTTTTGACCTTCCACACACAAACCAGAAGAGAAACTGGCCTGCTCAATCTTCATCCACCAAACCAGAGATGCGGAAAGGAAGACAGTGGGAGGAAACATGGCAGATATGTGGAGATGTAAAACTGGGTTTGTATATCTGACGTGGAAACTGAAGCAAAACTGCCTAGTGGAGCAGAGAGGACTCAGAAGAGCAGGAAGGGAGAATCAATGAGAGAGAAGGCAGGTATGGGGGTGCATTAGTTCAATATACAGTGTATGAGTGCGAAAGTGTCCTTATGAGAACACCATGAATGTATGAGGAAAAAATTTTAAAGAATGTGTTTAAACACGTACATCCTGTACTGTACTGTAATGTTGTACTTGAAAGATAAAAATAGTAATATTTCTAGCAACAGAAACTACAATAACAAACACTATCTACATCCCTATGTATGCCAAACCAGAAATTCATTTTCTTCCTCCCCCCCCCACTCTGTCTTTCCTTTTTAAGGCAAGGTCTCACTGTGTAGTCCAAGTTGCCCTCAATCTTGCCGCAATCATCCTTCCTCATCCTTTCGAGAACTGGGATTACAGATATGAGACACCACACCCTCCTAGGCCTGCTTCTTTATGAAAGGAAGATGTCAGCTTAAACAGGGATTATAAGCTATTGACCACCAGTGCCCTAAACTATGTGTGTGTGAGAGATTATTTGCTTTATTATATAGCTAGTGTGTAGCTGAAATCAGGAAAGCAGAAGTGTGTGG